CTAAGCGGTCGAGATCTTCCTTGTGAGATCCACCAGGAAGGCCACCGAGCGGCGGTGGTCGGCTGGACCATACACAATGACGATCTCTCATTTAAAATTGATGCCTCGTTCGAAGACCTCCAGACTAACGAAAAATTCGCCTATATTCATGCTCCCCACCTCGAAGGTGGCATCCTTCACACCTAAAAGGATGCCACCGAATGTCCGACGATCCCACTAGAAGGAAGCCAATGCGTGCCAGGCGAAGAGGTGGGTGTTCAACCGCTTTAATTTCGGTAGGGCGAACTCCGTGCGCATGGTTTTCTGGATGGGGACGATGTTAATACGCTCGTCACGCATGTATTCTATGAGTTGGCGGCCATCGGGGGGTTGCTTGACCCCAAATTTACACTAAAAAAATATCAACATCTACAATACCGAATACATATACTATGAAACTACATTCCATAACGAATATAGCAATATTGATTTGACATTATAAGATACTTTGACTTTAGACAAAACTCATATAAAGACTAATAAAGAGAGAAGAGTATCGAGAACCGTGTCGTTAAAATAACGGCTGAATAGGAGAAGGGTTTGAAAAAGGAAGAGAAGTCAGAGCAGCACAGCAGGACCAGCTCGTTGAGGAAAGGGCAAGGGATATCGCGTATCGTCTGCACTGCAGGGTTAACCCCCGATGTGAGGCAGGTGAAGTTATTAGGTTTAATCAAGTCGAGATGGAAAGGCTGCGGCCAATGAAGCGTCGACAGCTCCCATCCGCGGCGGTCATGGGCGCGGCGCGGAGCAAGGGTCGGCGCGCCACGCCGCCACTACCAGTATTTATTTGCTTCATGCCCACCACCCACGGGCCTCACTCCCTCCCTGCTCACTCCACCAGTCCACTCCTCCCCTCCACCACGGCCCCGTCACCTCACCTCTCCATTGCCGCCGGCGCCGGGCAGCAGGTACCCTCTCCTCTCCTCTCCTCTCCTTCCTTCTTCCGCCTGCGTGTATGTATGCTTGGAGCTTGGATTTTGGATGTATCATAGTGATGCCGGAAAGGTTTCCTTCCCTGTTGACTTTGGCTGTGTGATGGTGATACCAGTCCAGAAGCTATTTTCCTCCCCCCTTTGATCCTGGGAAGGTAGAGGGCGACGTTCCTGCTCTGTTTCCGGTGGTCAGGGCCCGGCATCATACACACACAGCATGAATTTGTAGCAAAGGTTGAGAGAATGACGTTCCTGTTAAGTGTGGGGATTCAGAATCCCCTTTCTACTACTCCCTCCGTTCCTAAATATTTGTCTTTCTAGAGATTTCAACAAATGACTACATACGGAGCAAAATGAATGAATCTACACTCTAAAATGTGTCTATATACATCCGTATGTGGTATCCATTTGAAATCCTAAAAAGACAAATACTCCCTCCGTTCGGAAATACTTGTCATTGAAATGGATGTATCTAGATGTATTTTAATTGCAGATACATCCATTTTCATCCATTTTGATGACAAGTATTTCCGGACGGAGGGAGTATTTAGGAACGGAGGGAGTAGTTGACTAGCGAAAGCAGAGCATCTCTCTGCTCAGCTGATTTAGGGCTGAGGCCCCATGGAGAGAGCGAGAGGTGCTGGACTGCTGGTGTTCGTTCCATCTGTAGGATTTCCGAGCACCGGGTGGCCCTTGGTTTCTGTCCATGTGCCATGTCAATGTCACCGGAATGGCAGAATCGCCGACCGGCTCGGCGATCCCGGAGGGCTCTTTGCTGAGACGGAGACCCTTGTATCTGCTTTGATTGGTTGTTTGAGGTGATAGATATCTCGATGGTAGTAGCGTTGCTGATATTTCGTTGTCCGATTCATCATGTGGGTTCTTCCTGTTGTCTTGTAGGTTTAGTTTTTTTGTTGCTGTTGCGCTGAGTCTTGTAGGTTTAGTTGCCTTTCTGAACCTTTTAAGCTTTCAGTCTTGCTCAGCTAGAAAACCAGGAGATTTTGGTATGTGGAAACTCAAAATCCACAATTCTGCTTCCTTGCTTTCTTCTCCTCACAGGCTGCTTGTGGCCTTTGCACCTTGGTGCATTTTACAAGCTCATGTAATCGACCCTAGGGTCCGCGGGCTTCGCCTGTTTTGAAATATATAAGGTAGACATCAATCTACCTTTTGTTTAAAAAAATAATAATAATTGAACCATGATCCAGAAAGGCATATTACTGGAAGTACCAACAAGTGTTGGCCGTGCCTTGCTAGAGTTTGTTCCTTCTGAATTTTGGCATGGGGGTATACTGTATTGTTGAAATAATACAAGTACACTCTTCGCAAAGAAAAAAAAAAGAGAGTATAAGTTTTTCTTTACAAAAAGGGGATAAACCCGGCCTCCTCTGCATCAAGAGAAATAATACAAGTACACAACAGAAAGGCCAGAACTAAACTTCCCAATACCATGACCACATTCTTTTTCTCCAGATGAGATAATTGACTCTCCTCTATAAGAAATTAGCAACTGTTGTTCTACTTTTTAGTAAGCCATACAGTTTGTTTGGAAAAAAAGGATCATCTGGTTACACTAATGTTGAGAAGAGTGAACCTGACCCAGCTAAATCACAGCCGACTGATCGCTTTGAAAATCTTCAAGTGATGAATAGGATAAGTTACACCGTTGCAGATACAAACTAGCGAGCTCCTTCCCTATGGTTAGCATGGGAAGCCTCTTTACTAGTACTCCCTCCGTTCGGAATTACTTGTCTCGGAAATGGATGTATCTAAAACTAAAATACATCTAGATACATCCATTTCTGCGACAAGTAATTCCGAATGGAGGGAGTACCTTTTTGGGTTTGCTGGAGATGTGGTACTTTATGGATCTTTATTCTTCTAGTGTCTGTCAAATTTGTTCACGCTTCTGAAACCAGGAAAAGAAACAAATATTTAGTAGCACTAAGAAAATATATTTAGCCATGATGATCGTCTCTGTTTTTTTGCAAGCTGTTAATGGTTTACCGTACTTGTATATTTTACTACTCCCTCCGTCCGGAAATACTTGTCATCAAAATGAATAAAAGGGGATGTATCTAGACGTATTTTAGTTATAGATATATCCCTTTTTATCCATTTTGATGACAAGTGTTTTCGGACGGAGGGAGTAGTAATTAGTGTTTGCCGCTTCTCATTTATTTATGTCCAGCAGGAGTGACACACAGCAGATACCGCTGCTGAGAGCGGTTCGAGTACTCGAGGCAGGTGATGTCTTCCTCAATGCCTGCCTCCAGTTCTTCCAGCAGGAACCGCCGGAGCACCCAGGAAAGGGTGTTAGCACAAACAACCCTTGATGCTCAACTCAATGCTGAGTTTGAAGAATCTAGTGACTCCTTCGACTACTCCAAGCTGGTCGAAGCCCAGCGGGACACTCCAACCGTGCTGCAGGAAGGGCGGTCGGAGAAAGTCATAGCCTACTTGCAGCACATTCAGAGAGGGAAGATGATCCAGTCGTTTGGTTGCTTGTTGGCCCTTGATGAGAAGAGCTTCAATGTCATCGCGTTCAGCGAAAACGCGCCAGAAATGCTTACAACTGTCAGCCATGCAGTGCCCAGTGTCAACGATCCCCCAAGGCTCGACATCGGCACCAATGTACGGTCTCTGTTCACTGACCAGGGTGCCACGGCTCTGCACAAGGCACTAGGGTTTGCTGATGTTTCTTTGCTGAATCCTATCCTGGTTCAGTGCAAGACCTCAGGCAAGCCTTTCTATGCCATTGTTCACCGAGCAACCGGCTGTTTGGTGGTAGACTTTGAGCCTGTAAACCCCACAGAATTTCCTGCCTCTGCTGCTGGGGCCTTGCAGTCTTACAAGCTTGCTGCCAAGGCAATCTCCAAGATCCAGGCACTGCCAGGTGGAAGCATAGAGCTGCTATGCAATACTGTGGTCAAGGAAGTCTTTGAACTTACAGGGTATGATAGGGTTATGGCTTACAAGTTCCATGAAGATAACCATGGCGAGGTCTTTGCCGAGATCACAAAGCCTGGCCTTGAGCCTTATCTGGGCCTGCACTATCCAGCCACTGATATCCCTCAAGCGGCCAGGTTCCTTTTCATGAAGAACAAAGTGCGGATGATTTGCGATGTCCGCTCAAGATCCATAAAGGTCATCGAAGATGAGGCACTCCCCTTTGATATTAGCTTGTGTGGTTCAGCGCTCAGGGCAGCACACAGCTGTCACCTTCAGTATATGGAGAACATGAACTCGATTGCATCCCTTGTCATGGCTGTTGTGGTTAATGAGAATGAAGAGGATGACGAGGTCGGGTCTGAACAACCAGCACAGCAGCAGCAGAAGAAGATACTGTGGGGCCTTGTTGTTTGCCACCATGAGAGCCCCAGATATGTCCCTTTTCCGCTGCGCTATGCTTGTGAGTTCTTAGCACAGGTGTTTGCTGTCCATGTCAACAAGGAGTTTGAAGTGCAGAAACAATTACGCGAAAAAAGCATACTGAGGACGCAAACAATTCTCTCCGACATGCTGTTCAAGGAAGCCTCCCCCCTGACTATCGTATCAGGGGCACCCAATATCATGGACCTAATCAAATGTGACGGTGCTGCTCTTCTGTATGGGGACAAAGTATGGCGTCTGGGCAATGCTCCAACCGAGTCTCAGATACGTGATCTTGCCTTGTGGCTGTCGGAAGTTCACATGGACTCCACTGGCCTGAGTACTGAGAGCCTCCATGATGCTGGCTACCCAGGAGCCTCTGCTCTTGGTGATTCGGTTTGTGGGATGGCAGTGGCTAAGATCAATTCCAGTGATATTCTTTTTTGGTTCAGGTCACATACAGCTCAAGAAATCAGATGGGGAGGTGCAAAGAATGACCCATCGGACCAGGATGACAGCAGAAGGATGCACCCCAGGTTGTCTTTCAAGGCATTCCTTGAAGTTGTCAAGATGAAGAGCTTGGCTTGGACTGATTCTGAGATGGATGCTATTCATTCATTGCAACTTATACTTCGAGGGACGGTGGATGGTGTCGTCAAGCCAACCGGAAAAGCTAGCTTAGATGAACAGATTGGTGATCTAAAGCTTGATGGGCTTGCTGAATTGCAGGCAGTGACCAGTGAAATGGTTCGTCTAATGGAAACAGCAACTGTTCCAATCTTGGCGGTAGATGGCAATGGATTGGTCAACGGGTGGAACCAGAAAGCGGCAGAATTGACTGGGCTAAGGGTTGATGATGCCATAGGAAGGCACATACTTACCCTTGTGGAGGAATCTTCTGTATCAGTTGTCCAGAGGATGCTATATCTAGCTTTGCAGGGTGAGTAAATTTTTTATATTTGTTTTCTCTATCTATTTACCTCCCCGCCTACTTTACCTTCCTCCTTAGTGACTCATTGTGTTATCTTCATTTGTTGATAATTTGTGTGTTGAACCTAGCTAACTTGTTATCGCGTCAACTGCTTACACAATTTGCGATTGATAACTTGGTAATATCGATCGTTTCATGGGTCTCTAATAAATTTTTCGCTGATCAAACAGGCAAAGAAGAGAAAGAAGTTCGATTTGAGGTAAAGACTCATGGCCCAAAGAGAGATGATGGCCCTGTTATCTTGGTTGTGAATGCTTGTGCCAGCCGGGACCTTCATGATGATGTTGTTGGGGTGTGCTTTGTAGCCCAAGATGTGACTGTCCATAAGTTGGTGATGGACAAGTTTACTCGGGTTGAGGGAGACTACATGGCGATCATTCACAACCCGAACCCACTCATTCCTCCTATATTTGGTGCTGATGAATTTGGATGGTGTTGTGAGTGGAATGCTGCAATGACCAAGCTGACTGGGTGGCACAGAGAGGAAGTGCTCAATAAGATGCTTCTCGGTGAAGTGTTCGACAGTAGCAATGCCTCCTGCCTTTTGAAGAACAAAGATGCATTTGTAAGCCTTTGTGTTGTTATCAACAGCGCGTTAGCCGGCGAAGAAACGGAAAAGGCTCCATTTGGCTTCTTCGACCGAAGCGGGAAGTACACTGATTGCCTTCTGTCAGTGAACAGAAGGGAAAATGAGGGTGGTCTCATCACTGGGGTATTCTGTTTTATTCATATTCCTAGTCATGAGCTGCAACAAGCACTGCAGGTGCAGCAAGCCTAGGAGCAGACGTCGCTAAAAAGGCTGAAAGCTTTCTCCTACATGAGACATGCAATCAACAACCCTCTCTCAGGCATGCTTTACTCCAGAAAAGCACTAAAGGACACAGATTTGAATGAAGAACAGATGAGGCAGATCCATGTCTCAGATAATTGTCAGCACCAGCTAAACAAGATACTTGCCGACTTGGATCAAGATAACATCATGGAAAAGTATTCTTCTTGCCAAATCTTCTGAATTGTTCTATTGCGTTCTCATGTTTACTTATGGCTGTCCCTGTTTTTTGTCAGTTTGCGGACCTCGTACGTTGATGTCGTTGTTCATTGTCCTCATTTCACCTGCTTTCATGCCTATATGCCTACTTATGTGATTAAAATGGAACAACAAACAAACATTGTTACATTTACACAACTTGTTGAACTAACTGCTGTTATTATATTTGTACTGCTTCCGGAAAATTTAGCCAGTATATATGGTTTCACTTATTGCTCAAGCTTACTTTTATATTTGAGAGGTATTATGTGCATAATAGTTCACTGTTATCATCTTTTAAAAATAACTTAATTGTTTTCTGTCATTTGTGGTCACAGATCTAGTTGCTTGGATTTGGAGATGGCTGAATTTGTGTTGCAAGATGTGGTGGTGGCTGCTGTAAGCCAAGTACTGATTGCCTGCCAGGGAAAAGGCATCAGAGTCTCTTGCAACCTGCCAGAGAGATTTATGAAGCAACTAGTGTATGGAGATGGCGTTCGACTCCAGCAGATCCTTTCCGACTTCCTATCTATTTCAGTGAAGTTCTCTCCTGTTGGAGGTTCTATCGAGATTTCAGCCAAGGCGACGAAGAACAGCATCGGAGAGAATCTTCACCTTATTGACCTTGAACTTGGGTACATCGGTCGTGCAATATGCCTGTTAATTTCTGAAAAGGAAGTTTTGAAGCCTTCTTCTGGGAATGCCTAGTGATGGTTACTTTTGTCTCTGTATGTTTTCAGGATCAAGCACCAGGGACTAGGAGTCCCGGCAGAGCTAATGGCGCAAATGTTTGAGGAGGACGACGCGGGGCAGTCAGAGGAGGGGTTGGGCCTCCTGGTCTCTAGAAACCTGTTGAGGCTCATGAATGGCGATGTTCGTCACCTAAGGGAAGCTGGTGTGTCAGTCTTCATCCTCACCGCCGAGCTTGCTTGCGCTCCAACGGCAACGGGGCAGTGATGAAGAAGCCAGTGCAACACATGCTCATCAGATGGTATGTGAAACAACTCTAACGAAGTACACCAGTGCGGTGTGTTTCTTTTGTCGCAACTGCTGGCTTTGCATCTTTCCTTACTTTCTTGATTCATACTCCATCAAAAGGATACTACCTATGGAACGCACAGCCGAAATCTGCAGCCTTCCAAATTAATTATTGATACAAAAAAGATCATTGTTTCCCTAACACATTAATACTACGGATATGACGCTGAATGAGAGTGTGTGGATAGGATATTTTTCACCTAGCAGCTCAGTCTGGTTGTTGGTAGAAACTTTTATCACTGGAAATGAAGAAGTTTTCTCTGGATCCCACATACTCCCTCCGTTCCAAATTACTCATCGTGGTTTTAGCCACGACGAGTAATTTGGAACGGAGGGAGTACTATTTTCCGTAGAGTCCTTATTTTAGTTCAGAAGAGTGACAAACATGGCTGATTCAGTTTCTGTACTAGACCTTGTTCCATAATCAGAACTGCTGATGGGGAGTGTGGCCTTTTGCTGAAGAATTTTGTTTTCCCTTCCAGCTTCATTTCGAAAGAACCATGATCGAGCGGCGGTGACGTCTTGCGGGGAAGATGCGACGCGGTTGCAGCAGGCTGTGGTAGAGTGTTAAGTGAATGCAGAAAAGGAAGAAGCAAAGGTTGGCTTGCAGGATCGCTTATCAGTCCAGGATGAAGAAAGGTTGTGCGGCACGGTTTGGTTATGTACTTGTGCTGTGTTATTATATGTTCTTCTCGTCACGTCCTACTATGTATGTGTAAGGTTCAAGTTTGATGCTTCATCATAAGTGTTTTATTATGGCTGTGTTGTGTACTTGTGTAAACTTGGTTATAAGATTATTCAAGTATGTTTATCTACTTGTGCTGTGTTACTATAGGGTTGGTCTTTTATGGTTTTGCTGCTTGCCAGCGTGATCCTTTGTGTGTGCGCGTTAGTGTTGATTTTGTGCATCCTGACCTCCGTTGTCAATTTCAGTACAAGAATCTGCTATGAAAAAAATGAGCTCGGTTGCGTAGGAGTACTCTACTGGAGAAAATCTTCGGGCAGGAGAGGTAACGAGACACTACGGGCTGTAGAAAATTATGGCGCGAAGAATTGGTCGAGCACATCAGTAGTCTGTACAGACATACGATGATGATTCGGAGGCGAAATACAAAGGGAAGAAGAAGAGTGGCGTTCCAAGCAAAGGGGAGTCAGCGATGGGAGCCAATGCTGCGGCGGTGCCTGGGCGTGAGCTCCCCACGCGGCGGCGGTCTCAGACCCATGGACCGACGAGAGCGTCGGCGGCGGGCCGGCGGCCAGGATGGGAGTGCCGGGGTGGGCGTGTGGGAACAGAAAGGGCAAAATGGTCCGTGCCTAGTCTATCCAGTCAAGTTTGGTCAAACTTCTTGTTCTCCAACATTTGCCTCAATTCCTTTTTTTTAGGTGCCTCCGTTCCTTATAACATCCTAGCCGATCCCTTAAAATTGATTAAAGCATCTACAGCCGCAACCTGCAAATCCGGCCCCCCCGAACGCCCAATGCGTCCGCAGCCACTGACAGGGCATTTTTTAAATTAGCAGAACTGCATACGGACATCTCATAGTAAATTCTCAAATCCATAGAAAAGCATGCAAACGAAAAAAAAACTACGTGCTAAGTAGATAATCTAGCTACTCCTCGTTGGAGATGTCGACTATCTCAGTGCATGGCTCCAGGTACATGGGCGGAAGCTGCAGCTCCGGCTCCTTCGACGCCTCTAGATGCTCCGCTCCGGCCTCCTCCTCCTCTCCGCATCGAGTTCGGCGAAGAGCGCGTCGAACGCCGCCTGCTCCTGCGAGAAACTGTCGGTTGGCCTCCACATAGGCCTCATCCCGGATGGACTCCAGGATGACATGCTGCTCCGCCATCTCCGCGGCTTGGGCGACATCGAACTTTGCCTCTGCCCCCGCCATGTTGAACAACGGAGCATCCTGCTCCGCCTCGTCCTTCTCTGGATCTGCCACCTCCATCGGCTCCAGCAGTTGCTCTTCCTCCTCCTCCTCCGGTTGCTGCTCCTCCTCCACCTCCTCCTTCTTCTCCGGCTCCGGCAAGTCCGGAGGCAGTCCGGCAGTGATGCAGCCGGCGCGCCTTGCCTGGACCTTCTCCTCCACGATCTGCCTCCGACGCTCCGACATGAGCATAGCTTATGTGGTGATCTTTCGCCGGACCATGGCGATGCCGAAGAGCGTGGGAGGGCGTGGAAGAGGAGGCGGACGGGCTCAGGTGGCGGCGCAGAGAAGGAGGAGGTGGGTGGGCTAGGGTTGGGGGACACCGGCCAGCTTAAATAGCCATATTTGGCCTCGGGCGACGAGCTGGAGCGGCGCCACGCGACGTTCACACCGCAGCGACGCAGGAGGCGCTCGTCTAACCGTCGGGTTTCCGTGCAATTTTGCGTGGGAGCCCATCATCAGTCCTACGCGGCGGACGCCCGGGCGCCCCATATCCGCCTCATATTTAGGTTTGATATGAGGGATGCCGGTCAGCCCAGGAGTTTGACCTATTTGAGGCGCACGTCTCAGTCAGATTTTCATGACCGGTCAGTGACTTGACGGGTCGCCCAGCCGTTTGAGGCCGATTTGGGGCGCCCAACTATAGATACTCTTAGAGGAGTAAAAAACCATTTTAGCATTAAATTGGATTTAGCGGATCCCTTATACGCTTTAGAGGAATTTTTTTACTCCTTGCGTCGGTCGTCCCTTATCTTTACTCCTCAGCGACCACTTCTCAAGATTATTTCGGCACTTCTTCGCATCGGCCCTTTCCCCCGCCAACACCATTCCTGCCGTGTTCCTTGCCTCCGGCGACCACCCCACATGCCGACTGACACGCCACAGCCCCGGTGACCTCCAACCGCCAAATTTCGACGAGAATCCGGTGATCTCTTTTCCTTTATTTGTCGTCCTTTCCTAAGTCTCCGGCCACAACGGCGCTCCTCCCATCGTCCCCAGCCACGAGCAAAGTTGCAGCGCCCTGTGTAGGACACCTACATACAGGAAAAGTTTAATGTACGGGATGAGCGGTCGCCGGTCGCGATCGCCGATTTCGATGAATCTCTGTTCCTTACGATGTCATCCGGCCACTAGGATAAAGGACGAGGGGAAGAACCCACTCAGGAGAGGAAGTGCCCAAGCCATGGCCCGTGGAGGACGAATTTCAACTACTTTGTCGACTACTTCATTGCACTGTTGCATCGTGCACGATGAGACTGTCAAATTACTTCTGTGGAGCACCTATCCTAGGTACTAGCTAGCTCGCGGAAATCATCTAATGCCAAAAATCCATAGTTGGTCGTGGGAAAGGAAGAAGAAAGAAGAAGCATGAAGGAAGAAGAAGAGGGAGAGATACTTCCATGTGGGGTCTGGTTCGTTTGAGAAGTTAAATTTAGATTTTCGGCTAGCAGCCGCTTTTTTAGCCGAGTAAATATAAAGAGTTAAGGTATAAGGGCATAAATTTTGAGGGATTGGCTAGAGATGCTCTTATTAGTTTTGGCGATGGTACTTAAACCTTAAAAGATTCCTTCTCAAATCTCTTTTGAACCTTAATTATCAAATAATAAGCAATAAAAAAGGTGGGAGCTGAGGGAGTTCCGGACTAGGGGGTGTCCGGATAGCCGAACTATCATCATCGGTCGGACTTCAAGACTATGAAGATACAAGATTGAAGACTTCGTCCCGTGTCCGGATGGGACTTTCCTTGGCGTGGAAGGCAAGCTTGGCAATACGGATATGTAGATCTCCTACCTTTGTAACCGACTCTGTGTAACCCTAGCCCTCTCCGGTGTCTATATAAACCGGATGGCTGTAGTCCATAGGACGAACAACAATCATACCATAGGCTAGCTTCTAGGGTTTAGCCTCCTTGATCTCGTGGTAGATCCACTCTTGTAACACACATCATCAATATTAATCAAGCAGGACGTAGGGTTTTACCTCCATCAAGAGGGCCCGAACCTGGGTAAAACATCGTGTCCCTTGTCTCTTGTTACCATCCGCCTAGACGCACAGTTCGGGACCCCCTACCCGAGATTCGCCGGTTTTGACACCGACATTGGTGCTTTCATTGAGAGTTCCTCTGTGCCGTCACCGATAGGCTCGATGGCTTCTTCAATCATCATCAACGACGCAGTCCAGGGTGAGACCTTCCTCCCCGGACAGATCTTCGTATTCGGCGGCTTCGCACTGCGGGCCAATTCGCTTGGCCAACTGGAGCAGATCGAAAGCTACGCCCCTGGCCGTCAGGTCAGATTTGGAAGTTTGAACTTCACGGCTGACATCCGCGGGGATTTGATCCTCGATGGATTCGAGCCACAGCCGAGCGTGCCGCACTGTCACGGTGAGCATGATTTAGCTCTGCAGCCGGACAGTACCCTGGAGGCCGCACTCGAAACCGCTCCGATCTTCAATCCGGAGCCGGCTGCGCAGATCGAGGACGGATGCCTAGACATCGCCTCGGGGGCTGCAACCTCTACGGTGATAGAGCCGAACACTAACCTTGTTCCTCATAAAGCTCATGACTCCGAAGTGCCGGACTCCTCGCCGGACTCCGAACCTCCCGCGCCCTCCCCGATCGAATCCGATTGGGCGCTGATCATGGAGTTCACCGCAGCGGACATCTTTCAACACTCACCTTTCGGCGACATCTTGAGTTCGCTAAAGTATCTCTCGTTATCAGGAGAGCCCTGGCTAGACTGTGGTTAGGACGGTTGGGATGCGAACGACGAAGAAATTCAAAGCCCACCCACCACCCACTTGGTAGCCGTTGTCGACGATCTAACTGACATGCTAGACTACGACTCCGAAGACATCGACGGTATGGACGACGATGCCGGAGACGACCAAGAACCAGCGCCTACTGGGCACTGGACAGCCACCTCATCATACGACATATACATGGTGGATATCCCAAAAGATGGGAATGGTGAAGGAACAGAAGAGGATGCC